ATTTTTAGTAGAAACAGGGTTTCACCATTTTGGTCTGGCTAGTCTCAAACTCCTGACCTCAGGTGATCTGCCTGCCTTGGCCTTCCAAAGTGCTGGGATTACAGGCATAAGCCACTGTGCCCAGCCATCTGGTCAGATTTAAAGCAGGTGCTCATCCTGGAGGGCTGGATGTGTTCTCTCACCCATCTGCTTAATTGATACTAGAATCTTCTAAAGTTACTGTACCCAGGGAAAAATCAATATCACTCTTCGTCTCTGTAAGTTCCTCCTAGCAGTATGTAAGAAACTATCTTTGAAGATGTCGCTTAAGGGTATGTTCAGTAATGAAATGGGTCACCTGTGTGTTGTTTCAAATAGCATCATGAATTTTAGCAGTGGGTGAAACTGTCTAGTCACCATGTGGATGACTTTCATGTGAGGCTCTCTCAGAGCTCTTCTGACCTTAAGTTCAAGGGCAATGTAAGTGTGAAAAGCCTGAACCTCAGTAAACAGCTGTTGACCCTGGAGGCAGTTATTACACATCTGCAATTGTATTTTAGTGGCATGCTTACACAACTGCCAGTCCTCCTAGACAGGAAGCTTCTCAATGGCTGGACCACACCTTCCTCTCTCTGTACCCATTCTAACTCCCCAGCCCTGCACAGGCCTTGATTCTGAGGTGGTGTAAGAAAAATATTCCCATTCCTCAGTTACTCAGAATGTATCCCCAGGGACTTATCCACAGCTTAGACGTTGGCTAGAGGATTAGAATAAACAAAATCTAAAACAATTCATGGAAGGTTTAATGTTGCTAAGATGCTATTACCCAAAATAATCTAAGATTTAATGTAATTCCTATCAAAATTCCAATATGGTTTTTTTTGGGGGAGGGGGGCAGAAATAGAAATACCATTCTAAAACCATATAGAATCTAAAGAGGCCCTGAATTGCCAAAACAGTCATCAAAAAGAACAGCGAAGTCAGAGGTCTCACATTTTCTGATTTCAAAACTTATTACTAAGCTACAGTAATCAAAAGAATGTGTACAGACATAAAGACAGATATACAGACCAACAGAATAGACAGCTCAGAAATAAACCCTCACATATATATGGTCAAATGATTTTTCACAAGGATGCTAACATGGTCTGGAATTTGTCCCCTCCAAATCTCATGTTGAAATGTGACTTCCAATGTTGGAGGTGGGGCCAGTTGAAGATGTTTGGGTCATGGGGGCAGGTCGCTTGTGAACGGCTTTGTGCTGTCCTCATGGTAATGACTGAGTTATCAATCTGTGAGTTCACGGAAGATGTGATTATATAACAGAGTTAGGGCCTCAGGTGTCTCTCTCTCAACATGTGATGCACTGGCTTCTCCTTCACCTTCCACTGTGAGTGGAAGCTTCCTGAGGCCTTACCAGGAGCAGATGCCAATGGCATGCTTCCTGTACAGGCTGCAGAACGATGAGCCAAAATTATCTCTTTTCTTTATTAAGTACCCAGTCTCAGGTATTCCTCATAGCAATGCAAATGGACTAACATAGATGTCGAGATCATTTTGTTGGGGGGAAAATAGTCTTTCAACAAATGGCACTGGGAAAACTAGATATCCATATGCAAAAGAATGAAATCTGACACTTATCTGACACCATGTACAAAAAATTATCTCAAAATGGATTAAGGCTAGGTGTGGTAGCTCATGCCTGTAATCCCAGCACTTTGGGAGGCCAAGGGGAGCGGATCACATGAGGCCAGGAGTTCAACACAACCCTGGCCAACATGGTGAAACCCAGTCTCTACTAAAAGTACAAAAAAAAAAAAAAAATTAGCCAGGTGTGGTGGCATGCACTTGTAGTCCCAACTATTCAGGAGGCTGAGGCATGAGAATTGCTTGAACCTGGGAGGTAGAAGTTGCAGTGAACCGAGATCACACCCCTGCACTGCAGCCTGGGTAACAGAGTGAGACTGTCACAAACAAACAAACAAAATGGATCAAAATGCCTTAGAGCTAAAACTACAAAACTTTTAGAAGAAAATACAGGGGGAAGGCTTTGTGACATTGGATTAGGAAATAACGTCTTGTACAGGACAAAGAGCACAGGCAACAGAAGTAAAAACAGATAAACTGGACGACACCAAAATGAAAAGCTTTGTGCATCAAAGGACACAGTCAAAAGAGTGAAAAGACAACCTAGCAAATGAAAGAAAATATCTGCAAGTCATGTATCTGATAAGGAGTTACTATCCAAAATATATACAGAACTCCTACAACTGGACAATAAAAAGAAAACAACTCTATTTAAAAACGGGTAAAGGACTCAAATAGACACTTCTCCACAGAAGATACGTAACTGGCGAAAAAGCATATGAAAAGATGTTCATTGCCACTAATCAGTAGAGAACTGCTAATCAAAACCACAAGAAGATACCACCTCACACCCATTAGGATGGCTACTATCAAAAACCCCCATAAAATAACAAGTGTTGGTAAGAAGAAATTCAAACCCTCAATTCATCGTCGGTAGAAATGTAAAATGGTGTGGCCACTATGTCTGACAGTAGGTATGTATATGAGTAGCATGGTGGCTCCTCAAAAAATTAAAAATAGAACTACCATATGATCTAGCAATTCTACTTTTGAGTATATGCCCAAAGCAGGAACTTGAACAGATACTGTACACCCATAGTCATGGCAACATTATTCACAATAGCCGGAAAGTGAAAGCAACCCCAGTCTCGATCCATAGGTGAATGAATAAAAATAATGTGGCATACACATACAATGGAATGTTATTTGACCTGGAAACAAAAGGAATTTCTGACACATGCTATGACATGAATGAAGCTTGAGGACATTTTGTTAAGTGAAATAAAAGGTACATAGAATAGTGAAATTAACAGAGACAGAAAGAAAAACGGTGGCTCTCTGGAGCTGGGGAAAGGAGGGAAGAGAGTAGAGTTTCAGGCAGTTGTGGTGGCTCGCACCTGTAATCCCAGAACTTTGGGAGGCTGAGGTGAGAGGATCACCTGAGCCCAGGAGTTCAAGTCCAGCCCTGGCAACAGAGTGAGACCCCCATGTCTACAAAAAATAAAAAAATTTAGCTGGGTGTGGTGGTGTACACTTGTAGTCCCAGCTACTCAGGAGGCTGAGGTGGGAGGATTGCTTGAGCCTGTGAGGTCAAGGCTGCAGTGAGCAATGATTGCACCACTACACTCTAGCCAGGGCAATAGGGCAAAACCTTGTCTCCCAAAATAAAAATAAATAAAATAATAAGTAAATAAATAAAGGGTAGAGTTTCAGTTTAGCAAGATAAAAAGAATTCTCAAGATGGATGGTGGTGATGGCTTCACAACAATATGAACGTACTCAACATCATTTAACTGTACACTTAAAAATGGTTAAGATGATAAATTTTGTTATGTCTATTTTACCACAACTATTTAAAAAGTAGAACAATGCTCTCAATTCCATTTTGTAAAAAACTAGTTGATTTCTATTGAGATTTGTGTTCTTGAAGTGGTTTGTTCATGGGAAAAAGCTCATTAGAATTTGGGCATGTGCCTGTCCCCCATTAAGAACTGCCTGAAACTTCCCGGGTCATGGGACTCTGCTTCACAAATCCACCTCTCCCTGCCTACCCCCACCTTGCTGATGGAAGCTCTGGAGCCGAGGGACAGCCAGAGTGGGTCCAGGGTCCACTCATGCCAACCAGACCTAGAAATATTTTCTTTGACTCTGGTTTCATGAAGGAAGTATAGGGGAAGATGAGCAATTGACCTGTAAGTACTTCGATACTGTCTAAGGAAGATACATGACACAGGCTCAGAAGGAGGTCAAAGTAAACCCCCGGAGACACTCAAGTATAATTCACCTCAATAAATGTTACTAGAGGTGGATGGCAATGGGCCCCACAAAATCTTAGTCCTGCCAGCAGTTGACACTTGTCAGTAAGTTATCCCAACTGTGTGGCCATGGGCAAGTCATCAACCCTCTCTGGGCTTCATTCATCACCTTTAACATGAAGACAACGCTTCCCCTATCTATCTGTTATTTAAAAAATCAAATAAAAAATGTGTATGAAAAAGGTTTCAAAACTAGTCTAAAGGAATATCTCTATAAGTATGAATTTCTTGTAGGTTCTCAAAGTCAGCCTTTGTTTAACAAATGGGGCCAGTTGTACCCTTCTTGCCTGGACTTGTAAAATTACAGGTACTCTCTATAAAGTGTGGGCACAGGATCTGGCCCAGAGTGGGTTCAATTCATGGAAGCCACAATGGTTTTTACTTACTGCTGCTCCCCTGTGAGTGGCCCTGACCCACCGTCCTCACTAGGAGATGGGAGATGGGATGGTGAGAGGATAGCGGGAGGGTGGTGTGTGGTTCTGATTCTGCCTGTCCAGCACCCATTCCTCCTCCTTTTTGTAAGGGCAGCCCTACTTTTCCTGGAGGTAATTTTCCTTTCCTGTGTGGTTCAGGTGCAGTATCTGTGCTCCCTCCTCCTTTCCCATCCTTCCCTGGTCCTCCAAGGTGGGCCAGCCAGCATATTCCCTCCCCTTCCCTCTTGGCCACAGTGATTGGTTCAGTGAGGACGGAGCTGTGACCAAATCCAGGATAAGAAAACACAACTCTGGGTCTTTTGCTGGACCCACTGGGAAACAGAAACACTTCTGTGAGGTCACTTAGATGGTAGAATGTAAGCCTTAAGCCTTGATCAGGAAGAAAATGAGGTCAACACAAAGGAAAGAGAATTTGAAAGAGAGAGAGAGAGAGAGTCAGACAATTGATGGACATGTTTGGATATCTGGAGTCAAGCAAATCTAAGCCACTACTGGGTGTTTTAGTTACTTAAGTCAATAAATCTACTCCTCCTTTTTAAATTTCTAGTTTGAGTCAAGTTTCTGCCACTTGTAACGGAAAGTTTTCATTAATGTAATTGGGAAATAAATAGACTTTGAATTTTCCCCCAACCTCAATAATGTCCCCTATTTCTCTTCTGTAAGGATCGCCATAACAGCGACTCACCCTGCGTCCAAACTCTTCTCCTTGCTTCACCTCCCGAGGATAGCCGTCAATCAGGAAGCCCCTGGTGTCCCCGAGGCTGGCCGCCATGGCCTCCTTCAGGAGCTCCAGAACAATGCCCTGAGCAAAGAGAGAGTGGTCAGGACCTGAGCTCTTCCACAGAACACTAAAGTACCCCAAGTCTCCTGCAGTCATCCACTGAGGGAGAGAGGAACCTTCTGATAAGGTTAGCAGCAGATAGCAACAGACCATATTTCATTTCATTCTTCCACCCCCAACTCTATATTTTAATATCTATTAAATTGGCAGGTATTTATAATCAGTTCTGCATCATGGTTTAATTGTTAGTGTTTTTTTTTTTCTTACTGGTATATTCTTACTGGTTATCTGTCTTAAAATGTTGGCATTTTAGATTAGACGAGATAAGGTAGCTGTATTTTATATGGTAGCACTCCATGAATTCGGCATAATGGCAATTTAAAACTAGACAAAACAAGGTATAAAAAGTATTTTACTGGCTGAGTGAGGTGGCTCATGCCTGTAATCCTGGCACTTTGAGAGGCTGAGTCAGATGGATCACCTGAGGTCAGGAGTTCAAGACTAGCCTGGCCAACATGGCAAAACCCCATCTCTACTAAAAATACAAAAATTAGCCAGCCATTGTGGGCACCTGTAATCCCAGCTACTCGGAGGCTGAGGCAGGAGAATCACTTGAACTCAGGAAGTGGAGGTTGCAGTGAGCCAAGATCACACCACTGCACCCTAGTCTGGGCGATCAGCGAGACTCTGTCTCAAAAAAAAAAAAAAAGGTATTTTACTGTTAATTTTGTTCCAGTATATATTTTATAAAATTCGACATCTACTGACTTAAAAGACTTTTGGTAGATGTAAAACAGCATTTTCAAGCAACACAACTCTCTTTGTTGAAAATTTGTATTTAACAAGTGCTTATGGAAAATGAAGTGAGAGAAATACACCAAAGTCAGGAAATTGGTAGAGGAAAAATGCAATCAGCTGCCAGCGGACGAATTCCTTGCTTGTGGGCTCTCTGGCTTTTGGCAGGGGCTTAGGGAATGTGGCCATTGCAAGTGTGGTCAGAATCTATCCCTAGGCAATTGCGAATGAAGTCTTCATGAAGTTTATATTCTAATGAAGAAGACAGGCAATAGATGAACAAATAAACACATAATAAAAAGTCAGCTGCAGGTAACTGACAGGTACAAAATTAGAGCAGGACAAAAAGATACAGAATGCTCGAGATGTTACTTCCTATAGGGTGGTCAGGGAAGGCATCTGATAAAGTGTAACACTGAAGTGGAGATCTGGATGAAGTAATCGAGCAAACTGTGTGACTGTGTGAAGGGAGCGCACTCAGGCTGCAGACACAGCAAGTGGGAAGGCCCTGAGGCAGGAACAGTCTGACTTGTGGGAGTGAGAAAGGTGAGAGTGGTGGGAAATGACAGTGGAGAGGGAGCTGGAGGCCGGAGCTGAGGAAGGACTCTGTATGCCGTCCTAAGTGCAGTGGGCAGCCACTGGAAGGTTTTGAGGTAGGGAATAACACACTGATAAATGTTTTAAAGAAATCACTCTGGCTGTGTCGGAGGTGTTTGAACCAGAGCAACTCCAATTTGAATAAAGGCTGGGTAAAATAAGGCTGAGACCTACCGGGCTGTATTCTCAGAAGGTTACGGCATTTTCTTTTTCGTTTTTTTTTTCAGACAGAGGCTTGCACTGTTGCCTAGGCTGGAGTACAGTGGCACGATTTTGGCTCACTGCAACCTCTGCCTCCTGAGTTAAAACGATTCTCCAACCTCAGCCTCCCGAGTAGCTAGGATTACAGGCACACACCATCACACCCAGCTAATTTTTTGTATTTTCAGTGGAGACGGGGTTTCACCATGTGGGCCAGGCTGGTCTCGAACTCCTGACCTCAGCTGATTTGCCTGCCTTATCCTCCCAAAGTGCTGGGAATATAGGTGTGAACCACTGTGCCCAGCCAGGTGAAAGCATTTTAAGTCACAGGATGAGATAGAAGGTCCACACAAGATACAGGTCATGAGGACCTTGCTGATAAAACAGGTTGCAGTAAAGAAACTGGCTAAAACTCACCAAAACCAAGATGGTGACAAGAGTGACCTCTGGTTGTCCTCACTGCTATACTCCCACCAGTGCCATGATAGTTTACAAATGCCATGGCAACGCTGGGGAGGCATGAATAATCCACCCCTTGTTTAGTATATCATCAAGAAATAACCATAAAAATGGGCAACCAGCAGCCCTCGGGATGCTCTGTCCTTAGAGTAGCCATTCTTTTATTCCTCTGCTTTCTTAATAGACTTGCTCTCTCTTTACTCTGCAACTCGCCCTGAGTTCTTTCTTGCACAGGATCCAAGAACCCTCTCTTGGGGTCTGAATCGGGACTGCTTTTTGGTAACAGCTGCTGTGAAGAGAGGTGACTGTAGGGAAAAGAGTGGGCTCTAGGAGGCCAGCGAGGTGGCAATTGTAATGGTCTGTTTTCCCTTCCCGAGGACCATTCTGGTGTCCAGGCAGGAAGAGAGTGCAGCTGGTTAGAGAGGAATCAGACAGCTTTGTTGTGAACAGAGACTGTATCATACAGCCCTAATTACAGAGGCTAGCATGGGACCCAGTGTGGCAGGGATGAATATTTCTTGATATCCCTGCCATCCAGCTTCTCAGAGATGGATGGTGACTTAAGAAGAAAAAAGATAGAAAAAAGGATGTTCTTAAACTACACAAGAAGATAGCAGATTTAAGATAATGTCATCATACCTCTCAGAACTAGACCAAAGCATTATTTTATATTTTCTGGGAGTTTCTAATTCTAGGCTCTGCTGCACCATACTCACTTCCATTTTGAAGCTTTTCCAATTCTAAAGTGGAATGAATCTGGGGGGAAGATGTGAAATTAGGCCAACATTCGAGGGGCTGGCAGAGCAACAAGATGGAAGGACCCTGGGCCAGCCAGACCTGGTTGGGCAGAAGCTGTCTCTGCTGTAGACCTGCCTGCATCTGGATTGCTACAAAGGACGAAATAAAATACAGCTGTTGTTTCTTTGGGGTGTTTAGTTCCAGCAGCTCAGACTCATTACAAAAACCCCAAAGATCTCCCCGGACAGGAAAGGCAGTAGTGTGGGGCAGCTTTTGTTGCTTACTGAGGGCACCAGGTCTCCACGTTCCATAATGTCTCTGATCAATTTGCTTCTTTCGGATTCTGATGCCAGTTCCTTACGCAGGAGCTTGCCAGTTGAGAGATGTGTAAATCCGTATTTTTCCACCAGCTTTTCACACTGTGTGCCTTTGCCAGAGCCAGGACCACCTTGAAAAGAAGTCATATATCAGACATGCATTCCAAGCCTGGTGCCTCATTTTTAATGGTAGTCACCATGGTGAGCAAGCCTCAGTGTTCTATCCACCAAGGATGTATTAGGAGCTTGGGATTTGCTATACCAGGGGCTGTGCTGAGAGCAATGGAGGCAAGTGGAGAATGGGATACAGCCCTTGCTGTTAAAGAGCTTAGACTATCCATGAAGTAGGAGGGGGCAGCTGTCACAGACAAACAGGCAGTTACTTTTCATAGACCACTTGAAACTCATGGTAACAAGCAGTTAGTGAAGAGGAGTGCAGCCTGATCAGGGCACAGAGGAAGGGCACCCGGCTCTGTTTTGGTAGAGGTGCAAAGTCAGAGAAGTTTCCTTGGAGAGCCAAAGCTGCTCATGTGCAGAGCACTGGCCACAATTCCTGATACTTAGTGAATGCTCAACAAATGCTAGCTTTTCATTTAAAAAACAAGGTGTTTTTATTTTCAGCAATTACAAACTTACACAAGAGTTGTGAGGACAAACAACTTTCAGAAACACTTGGGAATAAGTTGCTCATTGGATGCCTCTTTACTCCAGAACCTTTTATGTCACTTCCTACAAACAAGGAAACAAGCACATCCTCCTTCATAAGGATATCCTTGGACTCCTGCAAATTTCAATTGAATTGTCCCAATTGACTCAATAAATAATGTCTGCTGAAGTCAATGGGTCAAGTTCAGGATCACACATTGCCTTTAGTTGTCAAGTCCTTCTGCTCTCCTTCAGTATGGAACAGCTTCTGTGGGTTTCCTTGACACATTTGAAGATTATGAATGGTTATTTTGTAGAATGTCCCTTAATACGTTTTTCCCCTAGCTGTTATCAATTCTGAGTATCTGCCATATTCCTTTCATGAACAGTACGTCTTTGACTCTTTTCCTTACCCTCCAGGTTCAATCAGTTAAGTCACAGGATTTTACATCTGAAAATAATAACAGATAACCTTTGTCCAGTGCTTATTGTACCAGCCCCTGTTCTAAGCATTTTAGGTATTGTGTATAAGGTTATATAAAATAACCTTAAGAGGCGTGTAGTTATTATTCCCATTTTGCAGATGAGGAAGCAGAGGCACAGAGAAGTTAACTCCTTTGTCTAAGCTGCAAGGTTAGTTAGCAAGCAGCAAGCCTAGGATCTGGAGCCTGAGCTCCGACTCTCAGAGGTGTTCCCTTTCCTCCTCCCACTGTGGCCACATTGACCTGGCCACAGTTCAGGTCCTCATCCTCTCTGCCTGGTGTATGGCAATCACTCCACCTTCACAGGTCAGAATGGGAGGGGCTCTGGAGCCCCACAGACGTGCTAGCATGAGGATGTGCCTGGAAAGCAGGGCATTCCCACCTCCAAAGCACTCAATAGCCTCCTATGCCCCCAGAGTAAAATTCAAATTCCCTATAGTGGCATCCCATCCAGAATCCAGTCCTACTTTACCTCTCCAGCATCTTTCCCCTGCTATTTCTTCTTCTCCTTTTTTTTTTTTTTTGGAAATGGAGTATTGTTCTATCACCCAGGCTGGAGTGCAGAGGTGTGATCTCAGCTCACTCCAACCTTCCTCCCCCAGGTTCAAGTGATTCACCTGCCTCAGCCTCCCGACTAGCTGGGATTACAGGTGTGCGCTACCACGCCTGGCTAATTTTTATAGTTTTTGAGAGACAGGGTTTCACCATGTTGTCCAGGCTGGTCTCAAACTCCTGGCCTCAGGTGATCCACCCGCCTCAGCCTCCCAAAGTGCTGGGATTACAGGCATGAGCGACTGTGCTGGGCCCCTCGCCCCCATTTCTTACTCGCCCCCAGCACTGTCATGTCCGAGTAACACAGTTTTTTCAACAAGACAGACTTTTCCGTGCTTTTGTTCTTCTTGGTCCTCAGCTTGAAAGGTCCTTCCTTCCTCCTCTTTTGTTTTCTTCCCCAGCTTTACTGAGGTATTGTTGATAAAACTATATATTTAAGTGCACAATGTGATGATTTGATATACATATGGTGAGATGATTTCCACAATCCAGTTAATTAACCTTCACCTCACACAGTTACTTTTTTTGTGCTGAAGACATTTCACATCTATTCTCCTAATTTCAAGTAAACAATACAGTGTGGTGAGCTGTACCGTCATGCTATACGTGAGGTCTCTAGAGCCGCATCTCCCCACCTCCCCCGACTCCCCAGCCCCTGGCAACCACCATTCTTACTATCTGCTTCTATGAATTTGACTTTTTAAGATTCCACATATATGTGAGACCATGCAGTGTTTGTCTTTTTGCTTGGCTTATTTCACTCAGCATAATGTCTTCCGATACGTTATCACAAATGGCAGGATTTCTATCTTTTTATGGCTGCATAGTATTCTATATTCCAGCACATTTTCTTCACCCACTCATCTCCTTCCTTCCTTCCTTCACCCATTCATCTCCTTCCCTTCCTTCCTTATTTCCTTCCTTTCTTATTTCCCTCCTTCCTTCCTTTCTTGCCTCTCTCTCTCTCTCTCTCTCTCTCTCTCTTTCTTTCTGCAGTGGCACAATCACAGCTCTCACAGTTCATTCCATCCTTGAACTCTAAACTCCTGGGCTGAAGCAATCCTCTTGCCTTGGCATCTTGGGTAGCTGGGACTACAGGTGCACACCATGACACCTAGCTAAATTTAAAATTTTTCTGGTAGAGACAGGGTCTCTCTATGTTGCCCAGGCTGGTCTTGAACTCCTGGCCTCAAGCAATCCTCCCACCTCAACTTGCCAAACTTCTGGGATTATAGGCCTGAGCCACTGTGTCCGGCCACATTCATCCTCTTTTCTAACCATCAAGGTCTTTCTCGTCCCTTAGGCACAAATCACATGCTTCCCTCTGCTGGAGCCAATGCTGTGAACAGCGCCTGGGTGCTCCCTCCCTTCCTGTCTTACTCTCGGGTTCCAGCTCCCTCACTGGTTGTCAGCCCAGAAGCTTCTCTGGGTGGCCTGAGCACCTCACACAGCACCTTGCACGTTGTGAGTGCACCATAAATGCCTGACAAGAGTTTTTCCTGTTGAAAGGAAATATTTACCATCAGCATGCAAAGCATGATTGAGATTTTAGTAAGGTAATAAGGATTGACAACTCATTCTGCAATGTTCCTGGTTTGCCTTTCTTTGTACATAAAACTCCTTTCTTTGTGCAGTTGGCAACTTCCCTCTTAAGGGAGAACATTAGTTGTTGACCCTTTTTAATAAAAGGGCCTCTCATCCCTCTCCTTTGCCTTGCCAGAAAATCCAGGAAAGCTCTGTCTTCTATGTTCTGCTCATCTATACAGCTGCTGTAAGCCAAATGCAGAGGAGATCAGACCACTCACAGTAGTGTCAGGGATGGGCTGGATATAATAGGAAAATAGCAACTATAGAGGCTCCCCAAAATAATGCAGACCACTTAGTGGAGCCACCAGTTGCCAGCTAATGCTATGTTTACCATAAGTACTATGACTCCTATCTCCTGGTATAATGGGAATGAGGAGGCCACTCCGGAGAAGTGCTTCCAGGTAAATGACTAAGGGGGAGCAAGTGGCTGAGCTCCTGGAGAGGCCATCGGGCCTTCTGTGGCTGGCTTTACCTGGAAATGCTTTTCCTGGAATGGCTGGGAGCCCTCCATGTGGAAAAGATATTTTCAGACTTGGCTTACAAGGCAAAAAATGCCACGTTCCAATTATTTTCTTCCTCCAGCATTCTGCTAATACGACTATTACAGTTTTTGTTCCTCTAAAATGTTATTTAATAAATCTCGACACAAAGGCAATTAAAAATCTTCAGCTCAAATTCACAACAGCTGTGTGTTAAACAGCAGCCGCTGCCCCAGTTAGACACTTTCGTGGGAGCAACAGCTGCAAATTTTTAGCATTCTTTGGCCAAATGGTGCAGGCACTGTGGAATTTTAAGTAATCTACACAATAGCTTGATTCTTCTCTTGGCTCCAAACTGAAGAACAAAGTGATTTTATCACTGCAGTAAAAGCACAAAAACTGCTGGTGGAAACATAAATTTTCATACACTGCCACTGACATGTCTTTGAGGTCTTAACTTATGACTTTTAAATAAAAAACAATGGGGCCTTGGTATCCCTCCAGGATAATTTGTTATACGGCAAAAGATATTTGAGGAGCCACATCTCAGAATGAGTGGGCTGTGTCCTCTGGTGGCAGGATGACTGATAGCAGACAGGAGCTGTCACGTTTACTATCATCTCACTAATTTTTAGTGTATCATTACCCAAGTGTATCATCACCCAAGGCTGGAGGCCCTGAACAAGCTCATACACCATACCACGCGATGTGATTCACAAAGAGAGTATGGAATATGAAATTCCATTTTGAAGGTGTCTGTAAATATATCAAAAAGGTGAAAAATTAAAAAAGCATTCCCTGTGAGGCCAAAGGTGCTATATTGCAAAAATTCATGTACTATGAACGCCCAGTTTGCATCTCAGTAAGTCATTTCCCTACGGGTCTCGACAGCATTGCCACAGAAGGACGGAGGGGAGAGACTGCATGGGAATTGCGGGCCCAGGTAGCCCAAGACTGTCTTCTCTTCAGTACCTCATGTTCTTTGAGAGGTAGAACTGAAATCATCTGTATCACCTCAGCATGCCTACCGGGCTCACCTTTTCCAGTTTGCTTTTTATTGACTGGAGCAATCCTCTCTTGTGAGATAGCTCCTGGATTCGTTGGCTGGGCTCCTTAAGATAAGGACCAGCCTCTTAAGCAACTATTGCAGGTAGTTGGCCTCATCAGGGAAAAGAAGAATGAAATAGCAAAGTTGGTGTCTTTCGGCACATGCTGGGCTCAGAACAAAAACCCAAACAAAGAAAGATGTCAGGTAGACAATTTTCTGCATTCCAAATACAAACAAATGCGTGCACCCAAGTTTGGATTACACTTTTAAGTGTTTCATATAGAAATGGCACAGTGCAGGCCAGACACAGTGGCTCATGCCTGTAATCCCAGCACTTT